CGTACTTGTAAGTTCTAACGTTATTATTAGGCCTATACATACGATTGTTAACAACCGGTTCATGGTCATTAAATTCTAAGAACAGGTTCGCAAGAACCGGCTGAATCCCACCACTGCCTATAGTCGTATATCTCTTGTTAAATTATTAATAACAAAATTACCAATATATGTTTTGCCATAATATCTGTAAGTATAAACAGCTTACCTGAAAGTTGAATTGCAGGAGATAGCTTGTGAAACCCTTCTACTACTGTTAATCCCCGATAGGTAGCGTTGAAAATCTGCAGCCCTTCGATGAGATCCACTTGGTATTTTGATTCTATTTGTAGTCCAGCTACTACAAAATAATATCGCCAGTGTAAGCAATCAAACTGCAAATATGTTAAAAAATACAACGTAATTTTGAACTAGGTAGAAAAAAAAGATGTAAAGCAAATTTTTAATATGTGATTTTTGATTTTTTTAAACAAGGTGGAATTCTTAATAACCGTGCCACTAGAAATTTTAGGCAGTATTAGAGTATATTATTCTATGAGATCTTGGGCATGCTCAAATACATCAATCGAAAGGATTTGACCTCCTGACCCCAAAACTGTGATTAGATCTCAAATCGGGCAAGAGCTAATAAAATATTATTTTCTGCACAGTTATGAAACCAAGAAACAAATATATATTCCTTTGAGGCGATTTAAAGAAAAAGTAAGTAAATCGCTACATAATGAAACCAAACTTTAACTTGTTACTTTATAATATTATATTTCATACTTTTAATCATAGCAGTTTCCTACAGATCATTAGCATTTGTTTTTATAGAAATGTATGTTTAACTTTTCTAATTTTTATTTGAAATTTCTTAACCCTAATATGTCATGAAATCTTGAAGGAAAAAAATAGCTCTAATTTACAGTTATATTTCTATTTGCCATACTTGATTAATAAACATGTTACCTTTGAAATGCTATAGTAGCAACAAACAATATAATAAAAATATTTGTATTGCCTAAAACTTCAAAGTACTATACTAGTATTGGATTTGTTTATTTTTTATATTATTATATATATATATATATAAGCATACGTGTTTTTAAGTATACGGTCTTTTGTAGTTGTTATTTTTTACGTAACACTTTCGTGACAAAGACTGAAACAGCTCTTGTACAATATTATTATTTCTTTATAATAACTAATTTTTATATCAGATATTTATTTTCACCAAAGGTAAAATTGATAATATAATCTACGAGATAAAGGCCTAACACATTCTTTGAATCGCTGCACTCACTTCTGTGGAGCTAGGTTGCCTATGGGCTTTCAAAATAAACTCAAGTCAAGCTACTCGTTAACTAACCAGCTTTGAGCAATGTAAGTCTGTTAGAAAAACATAGTAACAAAATAGCAGCAAATATTAAGGTAATTGCAAAATAAAGAATCCCAAATCCGTGGACTTGGAAAGTCTATTTAAGGCTTAAGTCAGCAAACCAAGGATATACAGTTATACCTCTTATAACCATATTGAGTATATAATATTTATGAGGTTTTGGAGTCCTTTTTAACACACCATATAGTAACCTAATTTAACTAATTTAGGTGTTTGAATAATGTTATTGCTTTCGGCCTAACTTATTATTCGATATTATAAATCGGATCAACTGTTTATATTAATGATTATATTACAGATTAATCTTCCTTTCACCAGACGAAAAATTAAAATATATGTATAATCTGTGACGTAGAGGCCTAAAGCATTGTTTGAAGTGAATTTAGGTTAGTATATGATGGCTTTAAAAAGAACTCCTAGACCCTATAAATATTACAAACGCACAGGGCCGGATTAAGGTGTGTGGAGGCCCTGAGACAAATATCCATATGGAGAACTTTTCAAATATAGGAAATATAAAACTTTATTGTATTACAAACAAACTTTCAAATATAATATATAAATATATGAATCGACTATCGCAATATTCGTAAATAATGTTAACAAAATATTTGTGGGGGCCCTCGTGGTTAAACTTAACTGTATTTCTTGGTTTGTTGACACAAGTTTTGCTAATAAGCCTGGAATAAGCGAAACCACAGTCGACAGCAGAGGCTGAGGCGAATCAAAGAATGATTAGACCTCTACGTCAGAGATTACATTTTAATTCTATCTTTGGTGAAGCCCACAAGTGGCTCAGCAGTAAGTCTGAGGGCTCACACCACTAAAAATCAAGTTTCAATACTTGTGGTGGGCACGGCATAGATAAACCATTGTGTAGTTTTGCGCTAAACAACAAACAAACCATAGGTGAAAAGAAAAGTAATCCGTAATATAATTATTAAACAGTTGGTTCGATGTAGAATATCGAATAATAAGTTAGACGTAAATGCCGTAATATTATTTACACATCTAAACTAACTTAGATTACAGTATGGTGAGTTGAAGAGGACTCAAAAACTCCATAAATAAGTAATTTTGCTTAACTTTATTTTTATTCAAATAGTTTTCATGGATATGCAACTCTAGTCTTCTTCTAGATGTAAGCAGTATTACATAGATAATATTATTAATAAGGCCAAATACATTTATTTCTTCTTATGATATTTTTCTTGTGAACATTTTCGAAAATATCATTTATATTTAACAGACTGATTCATATAATATAAGAATGACCTCAGAATCAATGGCTGTCGAAGAAATAGGAATCATAGTTCAGTTATTCGATACTCAAGCTCAACTTCTGATGTGAAGAAGAATAAAAGTTTTCTCTACTGTTCCGGAAATACAATTTATCATGACTTTGCTTATTACAGAGCAGAAATACAATAATATGAAGAATATGATAATGTAAACATGGGTTTTGAAATACTGGCTAATACCTAGAACACGTTATTAAAAATCAGAGAGAGTCTCTTTCAAGAACTGTCTGTATGCATTTATATGATCTTTCCAAAGTATCCATTTCATTACAAAGAGTGTTTTGCAATACAGTTTGTTTTTTTTCAGAGCAAAGCCACATTGAGCTATCTGCTGTGTCCACAGCAGGGAATCAAACCCCGGATTTTAGCGTTGTACGTCAGTAAAATGACCACAGTCCCACCGGGGGACACTGCAACACAGTATATAATCTTGATAACGTATACTGTCGTAGTTAAAAGATAAAAACGTGATAAACACCAAGTTGAAATCCGTAGTGCCCAACAGCTAAACCAGTCAATAAACTTTAGTTGTAGTCCACCTGAAGAACTATTTTAAAACAAAACCTAATTCCAACGCTGAGGATAATACGTGTTTTTATTTTGACGAAATGTGAAATCGATCGTAAAGAATTTCAACATGCATTCTCTCATGAAGGGATATTTAAAGTATCATGAGAAACTGCTTGTTAACTGACAGGGTGTATTTTTCTAAAGTATTTTATCTCATATCTTACTAATACAAGCTATAGTCTTTCAAAATGATTAACCCTTATTTTACTAACACAAGCTGTGGTCTTTCTAAAGTAGAGTGTAACGCTTAGCAATACAAGCTGTGGTATTTCTAAAGTCAAATCTAACACTTCTCAATACAAGCTGTGGTTATTCTAAAGTATACTATGTACCATCTATATTCTCAACACGAATTATGATCTTTCTGAGGTAATACCTATTATCTATCTAATCAACACGAGTTGTGTTTTTCTGAAGTAGTATCTATTATCTATCTACTCAACACGAGTTGTGTTTTTCTGAAGTAGTATCTATTATCTATCTACTCAACACGAGTTGTGTTTTTCTGAAGTAGTATCTATTACCTATCTATTCAACACGAGTTATGATTATTTCTGAAGTAGTGAAAAACTTATTTTATTAACATATGTTGTTGTTTTCTTTCTGAAATAATGACTAGTAATAGATTTTTTACTAACATTAAGTTTTTCGAAAGTATTACCAAAACGACGAACGATATATTGACGAAACTGATGTAAAGGCCAGAAACATATACCCTGCGGTTACACCAGTAGTATAATCTCATTGAATGAGATTATTTTACGATTTATTTAACTTACAGATGTTTTTTTATATTAATATCATATAATCTTAAATTGCATTTTTTAAATTTTCGATACGAACATTTAATGCTGATAATTTCTAATTTCTCTAAATCAACACTGATTCAAGACTTAATGCTACTCTTTAAAATATCACATGTATATAAATCAGGTATGTATGTAAACATTTAATATTTTGTCACATTATCTATAAATTAAACTGATTCAGGTAAGGAATAGACGTATACATAGACATTTCTACTAACTACAATATAGCTAGTTTGATAATAAATATTTTCACTTACCGCAAATTAAAAGCAAAATCGTGAAAATGTTCTGAAAAATCCAGAGAGCTTTTAGCATTCTGAAAAGCTCTTCAATTAAATGACTTAGTTTTTTTAAGTATGCAGAAAGGCCCCAGAACTGACCATTAAATGAAAACCATCCACAGTCTAAACTAAAGGAACAAACCCTGTTTGATGTTCTCTAGGTCTTATCAGTGAACATTTTTTGGATTCTTCTCAACATACCGTGATTTCCGTGTGTCTAAAAGTAATAAACGAACATAGACGGCGGTTTCTCGTTTCAACACTTTTATACTACAAGTTCTGCCTAAAACTCAGTTTACTACTACCACTAATAAAACGGATCTCATATTGGTAATAAGGCGATCGCCTTCAGATAAAACATGCCAGCGTGGGTTGGCTCGCGAGACGCGTGCTCAGTAGGTATCAGCCTATACACGTAAACGATTTATCCCAAGTAGTCGTTACTAATATATACACAACTTTTGACATGGAAACTACTACCGCCTTTTGAAGCGAGAAACAAAAATAAAAACCTGTGTGGTTGGTCAAATGATGTGTTACGTATGCATAGTATCACTATCTTTCTTTGGAACAGACGTAGCACGCAGTGATGAATGATCGAAGAAGGCCATTCCTGCATAGATAAGCGACGTGTTAGATTAATGCGGCTCCTTTGTGTCTGGTCATTCCCTCTAGCAGCTCCCAAAGTAATCACAACCAATAACTCACGCAGGTAGTGCCAAAGACGGGCTCTACTAGGGAACGTGCAAGATCACAAATTGGAAGAAACGTGGCTCAAATCGTTTAGCGACACTCACCTAGCGCCAGACTGGCGACAGACGGGTATGTTCACATCATTTAGTGATGCTATGGGTGGTTGAAAATTGCTTTTTGTCCACACAGGTATAGTAATCCAGGTAGAGATTTCCATTTAGATTATCTTTACCCAATAGGAGGAAGTCAGTGCACTCGTAAACTGGGGGGGGGGGGGGGCGTATGAAGATCAATCTGTATTGTTC